CCCCCCCCCCCGCCCACCCCACTGACAGGGCAGAGTACCGTAGGCTACGTCTAGTGGCTGATTTGGGCATATTCCACAACATATGATGAAGCAACGTGAGAACAACGACCACAAAAAAAAGGCAAAAAAAAAGGAACCAGGCTTGCCTGGTCCATGAAAAATGAGAGGTCATGAGCGTGAACGTCTCGGCTGTTGAAGGCCAGAAGAGGGTTTCTGTTGTCCCCCGAGGCGTTCGGGGGCGGGCCGTAAAAGTCGAGCCCCTCCACTTCCGACAGTCGCTCCCAAAGATACCTGAAAACGAACCCGTCAACCGGGGTCCCCACGACGACGACAAGGGTAACACGTGCCGGTGCAGTACGGTTGGCTCGCGGGGGGTGGGGGGGGGGGCTGCTGCCAGAAAAAACGTGTTGCTGGCGTTTGGGTCCGAGCAATGTAACGAAGCATATGGCGCGGTTGGCCACAATATACTGTGCAGCTCGCTCGCCGTAACGGTGTGTTTCCAGCTAAAATCCGACTTTCAGCACAGACGGCCTTGCCCGGGCTTGGGGGAGCAAAAAGACGTCCCGATTTTCCACAAGGTAACTTTTTCTCGTGGTTGCGGTGTCGGTAAACGAACTACTTGAGCGTTCGCCGTGTGATACGTCGAGGCTGGCACCGATGCATGCGGACAAAATTTCCACCCTGTCGGAGGCTTTCGCACCACACTCTCCGTGGTGGCCGACAGACTCATCTCGCGGCCAATGAACGTCAGGCTTCGCCGGACTCCGAAAAAACGGACCATCAGTCAAGTCGATACGGGACAGCAAATGGCACACGCAGCAAACACCTACGGCAACAACCACACAACAACACAGGCATAGCACAATCGTCCCCCGCCCCCGCCCCCCGCCCCCGCCCCTGAGGGAACAATGCTCCGTCCTCTCCAGGATGCGTGGTCAAAGGTCTAACCGCTAAGGCTTACAAAACATGAGTGCCCCTCTTTTTGTGGGAATAGTCTTTTCGAGGACGCGTGGTCAATGTTCTAATCGCTACGGCATGCAAAACATGATAGTACGCCCCCCACCGCCCGCCCTCCCTCCCTTACTTGGACATCTCGTGCTCGTACGCGGCCACGTTCTCCATCCCAATGGACGACAGGTAGTCACACGCGGCCCCAAGCCCGACGGCCTGAGCGATCGCCGGGGTGCCCGCCTCGAACCTAGCCGGGGGCTCCGCAAACGTGGAGTGGTCGAAGTATACCTGGTCGATCATCTCGCCCCCACCCTTGGGAACGGCGGTAGAAGGTCAGGGTTAGGGTTAGGGCTAGGGTTGTGTCTGGTGGTGGGACGGAGAAGTAGGCGAATCAGCCATCCGCCGCAAGCGTTACAAGACGAACAAGGCTTCTGATTCATCTCGCCTCCACCCATGGGGGAATGGTGGAAGACGGTTAGGGTCAGAGTCAGGGTTGTGTGTGGTGGTGGGAGGGAGAAGTAGGCGAATGAGCCATGCGCCGCAAGGGTTACAACACGAACAAAGCCTCTGATTGGCCATCTCGCCTCCACCCTAACGTCCATCTTTCGCTGACCGGAGGGATGGAAAACGGGTGCGGAGGTGGCGCAGACAAACACGCCCCCGGGGTACAACGGCAAGGGGGCCGGGGAAACCGCACACCACCGTAGTGGTTGCAGCGGGGGGGAGGGGAGGGGGCGTAGGGGCGAGCAAGGAAGGAGGCACCGCCTTCCACGACTTATCGAAACCCCAGGTTCGATCTAGACTGGTTGCGGGGGGGGGGGCGCGGATGCTAACATCGAATCGATGCCGGGCAGGACTCCCACTAAGGGTGCTTCAATTTGTTGTGCTGTCGACAGGCGATGAGCAACGGCAGGGTAGCAGAGGTCTCCAAAGCTTGGATTGGTAACGTCCGTCTCCGCAACAATAACACGCGCGCTAGCTAGGTTCTGCATCGCTACGACTAGGGTTTTACGAGAGGAAACTTTTGCGGAAGTCAAACAGGTGTGTACCACGAGAAGATATCTGGAGGGAAACAAAAAAAACTATTACGGGTGTGTGGCAGTGCTGACATAAATATGTACACAGCTGGGACATCACCAAATGGTACATTAAGGCGTGTTGAGACCGCTGTAGCAGTGTTGGCGTGTAAGGCTGGGACAACACCACATGATACATGAGGCGTGCTGAGCGAATACGACAGCAAACCTCCGGTCACCTACAGTAAAGTACATACCTGCCATGGCCGCATCGTTTCGAGCACGGACATCCGACCCCAGAGGAACCCGATCCCGGTTGGGCCACACATCTTGTGCCCCGAAGCAACCAGCCAGTCAACGCCCAGAGCCTGAAAAACGGTAAAAAAAAAAACGTGCTGCGTGATGAGTATGGTAGGGAGAGAAAAAACAGCACTGTAACAACCATGGCGCAGTTGCACAAAACATCTTCGGTCTTCAACGCGACAAAACGAAATATGATAACGAAAACCACTAGCTTGATAAGTCAGACACTTTTCGGGTGGGCAGCGTGTTGGTACAGTAATGACGCCAATCGTCCGGGCGCGCGCACACGAAACATGCGGTCGGCCAATGCACAGCGAAACAGCTCAGCACAACGGGGTACTGTGCCAGAATCCCAACGTGGTTTTGACGACAAAAGAAGGGGCGCCAAGGGTCAAGCATTAAAGGTCAAGAGCATCCAGAGCGCACCAGAGACTCCGTTGCGGTTCTCGCCTTACAACACACGAATATGCACACCACCCCCCAAAAACACATTTGGTCACCAAAAGGAATTGTGCCATGCTACTGCCCGTAGCATCAGGAGATGACCACAACGCTAGCGCGGGTCGCAAATGTACGTGTGTACCACGCCACCGTCCGTAGCATCAGGACACGATCACAACGCAATTTGGCACGACCCGCGAGTGTGTTGTTGTTGTTGTTGTTCCTCACATTAGCTCTGTAGTTCACAAAAAATGGGGAGCCCGTGGTCTCAAAACCCGGCACATACGACGCCGCGAGAAAACAAAAAAAAACAAAAAAAGGGTACAAACCACTCGGAAAAAGAAAACAAAATGATAGAAAGAAAAGAGCAGGTATTGCACCGACCGTTCGAGAAAAGAGTGTGTGTATTGTCGCTATTACTACCATCGACCGCGCTAACCATTAAAAGACGTCGTCAGTCTCAGTGCGCGGTTGAAAACCCAGCGTTTCTAAGGGCTACCACGATCTGGGACGTCGCGAGTACGTGTGTGCGAACGCACCTGTACGTCGACGGGCATGTTGGGCACGCTCTGGCACCCGTCCACCAGAACCTTGGCGCCGACGGCGTGGGCCGCTTCCGCGATCTCGCTCACGGGGTTGACGCCGCCCAGGGCGTTCGAGGCGTGCACCTGCCGCCGACCACGAGAGAAAAAGTATGTTAGAAACGACGCGCCGTGTAAACAGGTACGTGTGTCATCCACCTAGCGAAAACCTAGATACTAAACGGGATTCAATGTTATTGGTCCTTTCCGGACCAGGTTTTTTGTTCATTTCCCACCAGTTTTTTGTTCATTTTCTGACCACCTTGCTCGGCATCTTGGTGTGTCACGATAACCAATAGGACTTACAAATCATCGATGTCGAAGATGAAAAATAAAACGGGACGTGTATCCAGGTGGCAATGGCGTCACCCTGTGTTGCGGTTGTCGTTGAGCCTCCCTCTGGGGGACACAACTATTAGCCGGGGACGCCGGGAGGGTGAACCCGTCATCGGGGGTCCGCGCCGCTGGGCCAACTCTACACGCTGCCAACAACACAACTTGTAGCTGATGCCGTGGCACACTCCAAAGCTGATGAATAGAAATAAACCAAAACTTGTTCAGAAAAAAACCAAAAGCAAAAACTAACGCACGTTGAAATGTTCGAGTTTTTAGGTTTTCGGAAAAGGCGGAGTGGGGGGCGGCACATGTACCTGACATGTGCACAGCACATCGTTTCACGCTCTAAATAGATCATTTACAACAGCAGGCAGGCGATTTGATCAGCCTCTATGTGTGTGATTTCTCACCACCGCTACCAGCTTGGTCTTGTCGGTGATGAGGCTCTTCATGTGGTCCAGGTCAAGCGACATGTCCTCCCGGATCTGCGCGAACTTCAGCACCGCGCCCGTCCGCTCCGCCAACAGCTGAGGCACACACACACAAAAGAGAGACGCGAGAAGAAACAAGCGTGGGGTCACGGCCATAGCAAAACACAGAGCCGGTCATCCTCCAGCGGAGAAAAACACAAGGCTGATGGGGGAGGGAAAACGCCACGAGGACAACAACTAAGATGCTCTCAGCAATATTTTTGAGAGGCTTGGCTCTCAGGGTGAACAAAGAAGAAACGATGTTTTTTCGTCGGTTCCGCGACTACCCGCTACGCGCGCAGCAGGATGGAGGTCGGCCTCTCTTGGGCGATCCTCCGCCTGGAGACCTTCTCTGGGACTTATCTACGGAGTTCGCAGATTTTCATCGTCATACGTCAAACTATCGTTTGGGTCTTGCAGGCGGTTTATACCCACCCCTCCTAGAGTGGCACACATGTTTTCAGCAGCCCGATAACGCAAAGAAGGTGTTCGACCGGGGGATCGCGTGAGCGAGGTCGACATGCTGCGGCGACGTCGTGTTGGGGAGCGGTTACACCGACGGGACAGATCCTGCGTTGTGCAATGCTACACGAATGTGGGGCAACGCAACGTCCCAAAAAACTACTCAAAACTTCAGGAAAAGTTACACCGCAGTTTGTCAAATTTCGGATAACGGTACTCTTCAGTTTGTCAAGAACAATGGACATCCTTTCCCCTTACAGCGAGGCAGAAGTAGCACTGAGCTGTCTCAACCGAAAACAACTTGCGGGTCTTACAAACAAGAGCCTATGATGCACACTCTCGCCTGCCACGGGACCATGTTGCTGTGGTGCTCCATGACCGTCGTAACGATCTCGTCTCCCGCCGCCAGGTTGTCCAGGCCCCACGTCTGCGCGACGAGGTTGATTGCCTCCGTGGCCCCCCGCGTGAAGACGATCTCCCGCGATGTCTCCGCGTTCACGAACGCGCCCACCTTCGTGTTTTGATGGGAGGCGGGGGTACCTTTATGGTATGCATGCCTTAGCGGTTAGACCATTGACCACGCGTCCTCGAGAGGACGGAGCATTCCATGGCCAACTGGGGTTTCTGCAGCGCGACTAAATGACACGCTTAGGTGGACAGGATAGGGAAATGACTTTTGAGTCGCCGCTGGAAAAAGTAGGAAATATCGGCCATCGGTCCTGCTGCGTCCTCTCGAGGTCGCGTGGTCTAACATCTAAGGCAATGCAAGCATGAGTACTTGTACACCCACCCGTTTCGAAAGAAAAAATCACCTTCTCCCTAGCAGCCTCGTATGCCTCGGTGGCGCGAATTGAGAGCTGGTGCGCTCCGCGGTGAACATTAGCGTTGTCGCGCTCGTAGTAGTCTCGCAAGGCGTCTATGACAACCTTCGGCTTCTGAGAGGTAGCAGCGCTGTCGAGATAAACCAGCGGCTTGCCCGGGTACGCCTCCTGTTTAAAAAAGATAGAAAAATACACAGAAACGGCGTACTGAGTATGATGAAGCGCGCTGAGTGGGAGGATAGAGGAAAGGGCAAGCGGCCAGACGGCCGCGTTATGGAGTTGCTCTGATCCGCCAGAGGATTCCCTGTGGCACGTTGTCGTGTGTGACATCGCTCGAGAAAGTCATTGGGACCCGAAAATATTGTGTGCTGAGAGTTGGCCTTTGCTGTTGTAATCTCCAACACCTGTGATATACACAGCGTGCCTGTAAAAAAACTCATCATGCACAAGACAATTCTCTGCACACGGAAACCTGGGGATCCCACGACGTTGCCTATGAACTTCCCAGGCAGCTGCCTGGTATTGCCTCCGTCGGCGGTTTCTCGGTATCTCGGAACGGAAACCAACTCAACGCCTTCAAGTACGCTACACATGTAAAACAGCAGCGGTTGTACTGCAAATCGGGCTGTACTCTGCCACACTCCGAATGTTGGCGATGCGTAAAACATACGAACGATTCAATCCGTAGGCTAACGTTTTTGTGGGTGCGTTCACACAGCCTGTAGTGCACGTCTTCCTACAGGAGGTGTTGACCTCCTGCACAGCCACGGCAGCGATTGAGATTGTTATGTCACATGCATACCTCTGCTGTCTTGTTCAGTTCGTTTGACCTGCTCTATACATGTGTAGCAGTCATGCTGCAGGAAGATAGGGGATGTACCATAGAAACGTGCATAGCGTGTACATGCCTGATCCAGTATGGGAAAGTCGGCTCGAATCCTCTCGCCAAGCGACAACCCAAGCCCATCCTTGTCCCCCTCCTCCTTCATCGAAGCCACTGCCGCAGCGGACACCATCCTGACGGCCGCCCTGCGCGGGCGTCGTACTGCTTGGCTCGACAACACCACCCTTTTTGCCTCTAGGCTCCACTGCCCAACCGCTGCTGTAGCCGGCGCCAGCTTCGGGGGCATCATGAACGCGTCGACTCCGCCCCCGTGCTGCGATGATGGTAGCATGAGAGATGCAGCTGCTACGACAACTCTTGAGCAGCTCCGGCATGGCCTGCCACGACTGCGGTGCGTGTTCTCGAGCATTGTCGTATCTCACTCAGTATTAAACACACACAACCCACACGTACGTCTGAAGATGTAGGTCTGGGACTCCAGGGCAACAAGCAAGGAGAGAGCGTGTGCCGTGGTTCCTGGTTTTGCTGTCTGTCAGCAGCAATAGGGGCTCCGCGTATGCACGGTCGTGTGTGCAGGTGGTACCCGTGCCCGGTATGCGGCGGGTTCTGCAGTCACTTGTCACGTTTCGCAGAGGAGGTTCACAAATAATCGCACCGCACAATCGTCTGCTGCGCGCTTCGCGCGGCGCTGGGACCAATCCCCGCTGCCTCTCTCGCTCTGTATTGAACAAAAGCCCCGTCCATCCCCCCTGGATCTGCATAAACCAGTGCTATGTGCTTTGTGTGACTGCACTATCAAAAGTGTGAATCCGCAAGAGAGCCAGCCCTACACGACCTGCAGGCAAGGAAGCGAGGTGCCCGTGGTGAAGCGTGATCGAGCTTGCATGCAGTTGTGTTAACGTGAGATACGGAGTGAAGCAGTCAGACGAGGGCATGGACATGACCTCTCAAACTTTGTCCGTCTGACTAAAGGTACCCCCGCCTTCCCTCTCCTTGCGCTTAACACAGGTTTGTGGATGTGCCGTAGTTGTCGACAGCAGTATAGCAGTACAGTCCAGGTTAGAATACCTGGCGGCGTCACGGCGTCAATAAAGGAGGAGAGCTTACGGTTGATCATTTACCACGATACGTCTCTCGCACGGTGATTTCGAGTATCTTGAGCTTCTACTCTGCTACGACCGTTCTGACCGGAAATTCCCAGCAGCACCGCAGCGCAGAAAACCGTAGGTTATTCGGACTGCAACAAGCGATCCCTTTCTCAAAGAACCGTAGTGAGGTTCTCTCGTAGCATCTGGTTTGATGCGGACGGAAGACAACATGATTGAATACCCGAGAGACTTTGGCGCATTCAATTCCCAACGAAATATTGGTATGCCCAAGCGAGGGCCAAATGCACACCAGTGTTGGATTCCCTTCGGAAAGAGCGGTCAGGTGACAATACGATTCGTGTTTGTAGGCAATTGCCGCCGCATGGGTCTGATACATGTAGCGACACCAACTCGATTGTGCGTCGCGTTCGTGGTACGGTTTGGATATGAGGGCGACCTGCCAATGTGGGTCGTCACGCTATGCATACAACGTGTATACGAGATTTACCGAGGTGACGCATTGCAGCCTACCAAGCCCTACATACATTTGATTGTAGCACTGAATGCACCAAATGTCTCAAATATGCCGATCTTATCATTTTTGTCGACAGCGGTGGCAACATGATGGTTGACCGAAGCGCTGCGATCACCCCGGCGAGATCTCAGCCGTTGCGGGGACGAGACGGCACACCTTGCCGCACAAACGACTCGGCGAGATCGCGGGCTGTGGCACACCACCTCATCGCCGAGCCGCGAAGACTCAAGTCGAAACGGGAAGCCATGGAACGGCGGAAGCTGTTGTCAGACAGGACCGGCAGCTTGTACGACTTCATCGGCCAGACCCCTTCGCCCTCCTCCTCCTTGCTTCCCTCGTCGTTGGTGGGTTCTCGTATGGCATCTTTGTCGTGCACGGCTTCGGGTTAGATGAGGTGTCCGTATAGTAGGCTAGGATTTGATCCGAGGGTGAAACACTTTACGTGGCACGTTGTTTTCCTCGATTGGTTCTTCCAACCAGGGACCAAGTGCGTCGTAGTCTTGCGCTTACCGTGTCGTGGGAGATACGCTGTCTGAAAGTATGGAGAGCCCCGTTCAGTCGTCCCTGCCAGCCCTACCCCGGAGAACAGTACCCTTCGCAGTTTTTTTTTATTAAGCAAACATGTTGGACAAATCATACAATCGGGGAAGTTGGGTCAGGGTTAGGGTCAGGGAACAGGGCCTGCACCCCCTCTCTCTGTTCTATTTCCTCATAACGTATTGATCGCGAGAAGGCGGTCCCCGCAGAAGCGCATCGCAGTAGCATGTAGGCGCCACCACCGGCCGTTGTATCCCAGATCTTCCGGCCAAAGCAGCATTGTGGAAGTCAGGCGGGGGCTACCGCACGCAGTGGGGTCCCGACACGAATCCACGTTGCTTCGCACTTATGACCCGGGGCACAGCCCCCCCCAGCGGTTCAGCTGGTACCTTGCATCTCCTTGACTCTGTAGATGGCAGTTTCGCATTGTTGTCAAGTGAATCATTCGCATATTACAGTAGAGGTGGACAGCACGTTGTCGTCAGTAAACATTAAAGGAGGGAGAAACTACAGAAGCATTCTCTCGTGTTCAAAATTAAAGGCAAGGACCCCAGGGGGAAAGGTGAATAAATATGGAACCCCGGTGTTGCCCTTCCTTCTGTGTGGCCCCGGCTGGTGGTACAAACTTATTGAACCGGAAGGCGAAGACTCGAGCCCAGAATGGATGCGACGGTAACATGTTTACATACGCATCCGGACAATGGAGAGGTAATCACGTATGTGGACCCGGTCTATCTGTCTGTCTGCCCCTCGCCCCAGCCGCCACTCCATAGATAAGATGCAACTCTCACTGTTTCCCTAAACCGGTACGATACAGATCTCTGGTTGTCTTTCTCCTCGCCTAGAGATCGCCGAGCTTCCCATTAATCCCCTACCCTCTGTCTTTGTGTGCTCTCCGGCGACCAAGACACGAAGCAAACGCACGACTTCCTCCAAGCTGAAAAAAGCGCACGACTTCCCCAAAGCTAGCAGTACAAACAGAGGTCATTCCCCTCAACAGAGATTGTGCATTTTTCTTCGCCTTCAATAGTCTACGCACTCTCCGCGGAAACCCTGAAACTTTCTCGGCACTGTGTTCGGTCGTACACGACGACATCCCCGACCAAGAGCAGATGGGAGGAGGTAAGCCCGTAAGGCGCACCCCTTGTGAGAGATCCCGAGGCCAAACGACAAGGGCGAATATTCCCGGAAAGCTCGCCGAAAACGCTTCGGGTAACGCTCCGCCAAGTGAGGCCACCAAAAATGATACAAATCGAGCTGTCATCACTCCCCAGGCAAGAAGGGAAATCATCGGTCTGTAAACGTCGGAGGGGGACATTAGTTTTATGCTTCTTAGCGTTTGGATGGTAGGAAGGTTGTCGGCGAATATTGATCCATGACAAAGGTGTGCAGACCACTTGTATGGTGAGTACTCAACTTGAGCAGAAGCACAGGGGGAGCGGAGGGTTTCAAGGCCTGTAACGGATCTATTTAAGCTTCCTTTCGGTGAGATATGCCTCGCTACGCAACCTCACGAAGTGTTTCGAATGAACGTTTGGCGTGAGTGGTAGCAATAATTTCGTGACGCCGATATTCAGGCACAGTTGTGACATTTTCACAGACGAATTTTTTTGCGTGTGCTGCTGAGGTTCGAGAAACGTGGGGCCTGCCCCACACAAACGGGACGCATCCACCCCTCGGTTGTGCGCTCATAATTTACGGCAACGACCCTCGTCCAAACCGTGGCTTACGTCTCGGTGTGCTCGGTTGGCAGGGTGACAAGCTATGCAGTTCTGCCGCTTGTAGCGTTACTGGGGGCCGGACCAAGTTTGGGGATGAAAGACGAGCTGTTCAGCACCGAGGAAGTGATGGTGTGCCTCCGAAATCAGCATTGCTGAGCAAAGCAGGGGCTGAAGGAGCGCCGACAAGTTCACCGTTGCGGCTGCAAGAGACACTAAACAAGTGAAAAGAGGAACCGATTCTTTGCTTCACAATCAGCCATTTTTCGGGATATTATTGGCTCCTCGGTGCGGCATTTATCGTCCGTTGTAGATTGAGTGCGTTCGTCATCATTCGTGGCGATTTTGTCTCGTGCTATCTCTCTAACTGCGAGGTAATGGCCCTCACGCAGATATCGATATTTCGCCGATCCGGTCACGAGTCAGCGGGAGGCTCTGCGGTCCCTGCAGGCCAAAAACTCGCTGTATCCCACCCTGAGGTACGCAGCCTTTGTGCTCGACCGCCGCCGCAGCGACATCAGCGCGTAATGGGAAACCGTGCGATCGTTCGACGGAAAAAGCTCTGGCAACCCGTAAGGAAATTCGTTTCGCCCTTCATGGGTGACTCG